TCCATTCTTCTTTTCCTCCTCCCCCCATTTCTTTGGAGGGGGTAAGTTAAAAGCCCATTAATGTGCAGAGCCCCCCCAACCCTTTGAATCTCCTCACAGGATGTGAACAGGGTGGGATTTGGCCCCAGTTGCCATGGCAACTGTGGTGGGAGTTCCCAGACGCTAGGCAACCCTCCCATGACCCTTGCTGACCTGTCACCCCCGCAACCCATGGACAATGGAAGTGCTCGATCCAGAGGCCCAGGATGCCTTTCAGTGTAGCTGCCAGCAGCTCAGCCCGCCCCCACCCTGCCTGGCTCAGTCCTCCTGGCCCCAAGTCTAGCTCTCTTCAGCGAGAATGCCCAGTCCAGCATCCAAGACTTCCCCAGGACCTTCACTTCTTAAAAGCTGTCACCCACTTCCCCCAGACCTCATGACCCCCAATCACATACACAAAGGATGTCTGTAGGTTCTCTAGAGAAGCCCCCACCCCCATACCATACTGGGAACATTTTCATAAATGTTTAGGATAACATTTTCGGTACAATCAGATTAGGATAATACACAAGAGCAGCCCTCAAAAAAAAGCATCAAAGAGGAGGAACTATGTGGGGGAGGGGGCAGCAGGGCAGGGGATTTGCCTTGGTGAAGGAAGGGGATTGATGGGCAGTTGGTGTGTCTGTTGGACCCAGGGTATTCTTTCACAGAAGCTGGGGGTACCTCCTCCAGCTGGCCAGCAGTGCCCAGCACCAATCAAGTTTCACTGCATGTTTGCTGGATGAATGAGGGCCCCAAGGCCTGCATCACACTAGCAGCACATTCTTCTCAGGGTAGATTCTCCATGGGAGGTGAGGCTTGGTAAATACTCTGAGAGTGGAGGTGGTGTGGCCCTGTCCCTCCCCAACTTGAGGGGGGGGGGAAGAGAGCTGGAGGAGGAGGGAGCCGAGGCTGAGGTCTTGAATGCTGAGATGAGGCAGCCAGCCTGGGACCCTCTCTCTAGATAGGCCAGCATGGCAGCCAAGTCAAATCACCCCCCACCCCCACTCCAGCCTCTGTTTAAACAAGCTTCGTTGCATGGAAACAAGCGCCGGCTCTTGTTCCAAAGTGACGTGGAAGCCCTCTTCAGCAGTGTTTGTTTCAGCCTAAAGTCCTGTCACAGGCCTGACTTCTGACTCGCCCTGTTTCTCTCTCTCTCTCTCTTTTGTCAACTCATTACTCCCAAAGGCCAGGGACACATTTTCAGGGCTTGCTTACCTAGAGCAGAGGGACAGGGACCAACAGGTGAACAGACAAGGGAGAAAGGGTTGGAGACCCAAGGAGGGCACAAGAAGGAGAACAGTGAATTGTCTGCAGACTGATTCCCAAATCTCTTTCCCTCCAGTTCACTGATCGGGTGAGAGTGGCTACTAAGAGCTAGTGGTTTTTGTTTGCATAATGAACCGTTTTAGACTGAGAATGGAGCACCGTCATTCACTCAAGGACAGACATTTATTTACCAGCTATTATATTCAAAGGGGCGTCCTGGTGTGGCACTGTGGGTTAATGTGCCAGACTGCAAAGCCATTTGAACTGCAAGGTCAGTGGTTCAAGCTCACCAGCTGCTCCTTGGAAACCCTATACAGGGTCGCTATGGGTCAGAATTGATGGCACTTAACAACAGCAACAACAACAATGGTGTGGCATTGTAGGATAATCACTTGATAAGGTCAAGGTCAGCTTGAGCCACAAGGTTGGTGGTTCAAACTCACCAACTGCTTCTTGGAAACCCTAGACAGGTTCGCCATGCATTGGAACCAACTCAACGGCACTTACCAACAATATGTTCAAGGTCATCTCTCACAGGGGATTGATTGCATGGATGTGTGTGATAAGAGCAAAAAGAGGGTGCTTTGAGAGAGACCTAAGTCCCAGCTCACTGTGTCATCTGACAAGTCAGTGCCTACCTCTGGGCTATCTCCCCATCTCTGAAATAGAAGTAATCATATCAGCCTCCCAGAGATGGAAGGAGTCCTGGTGGCACAACATCTAAGCACTGGCTATTAACCAAAAGGTTGGTGGTTCAAACTGACCTAGCAGCTCTACGGGAGAAAGACGTGAAGACCTGTTTCCATAAAGATTATAACCAAGAAAATCCTATTCTGTCACATGAGGTTGTTAATGAGTCACAATGACTCCATGGCACCCACCACCACCACCAACAAGAACTCAGGGATGGAGGCGATTAAATAACACATGCATGGTATGTGGAGAGAAAGAAAGAAAAAAAGACCCAAAGACCCAAACAGATGATTTGTTTCTCCTGCAAGGCACTTCCTGATGTGGCTGGGGGTAAGAGGGAAGAGAAACTTGAGGGACCAGGCTCTTTCCAACAGTTGTTCTATTTTCATGGATGGTCAGGAATATTTGTCACTGGAGTACCAGAAATGCTACTCCTGAAGTTCCCCGCCCCCCAAAGCCTCATTGGTACATTGGATGGTCCAGTGGGTAGCCCACAGATGGTTTCATTTGAATTAAAGTTTTGTCATTTTAATTCTTCAGGGTTCTTTTCATAGTTTGGAGCCAACAAAACCTTTTTTTAAGTCTCAAATATTTTCCTTGGCCCTGGGCGCTACGCCCATAGTGAGCCCAAATGGATAAAACAGCTCTCTGCCTGCTTCCCAATCTCCACCCCAGTTTCTTTGTGAAACAGATATAGGATTTTCCAGGACTTTGGGATAGTCCCCAAAACAAACAAAAATAACTGAACTTGGAATATAGATGGTGAGACTGGCTGGTGTGCAAAGAAGAAAATGGATGAGTACAATCTTTCTCCCCAGTTCTCCAGATATGTCTGTGTCTACTCTTTAAGTCAGTTTTTAAAAGAATCCCCTCAGTTTTGGTATTCTCCCCTGCAACGGTTGTGCAATGTCATTGAGTCAGTTCTGACTTATTACTACCCTGTGTTACAGAGGAGAACTGCCCCAGAGGATTTTGTAGATGATAATCTTTACAGAAGCAGATCACCAAGTCTTCTGCCCTAGGAGTGACTTGGGTGGGTTTGTATCACCAGCCTTTCCATTTGCAGTCCAACGCTTAATCACTGAGCCACCAGGGCTCCTTTCATACTATTTAGCACTTCTCATGGTGTTGCCTGTTCAGAGGTACAAGAGAAAAAGAGCTGACCTTACAAGATGAATGGACTTGAAGACTTCTGGTGGGGTGTGTTTTGTTATTATTTTCATAAAGGATGTGACTTTTGCCTTTGACTTTCTTGTCCCAGCAGACATCACAGATCTCTTGATCTTCCTCCCAGAGAACCTACTTAAGGATGGCTTGTGGGATGCTGATAAATTCCCAAGGACCTTTTGCTCCAGTCTCTACTGTTTCTAAGAGGACGTGATTTCTTTTTTAAAGTTCTCAATTCTGTTCACATCTACATTGTGCCCAGCAGTCTACAGGATTCCACACTTAAAATCTCATCAGATCCTAACAACCCTGTTCTTTAGACACCCAGAAGGCCCAGACTTGGGGACTCCCATGACTTCTTGACCAACTAACTACCCTGGTAAGGGTCTAGCTGCTCTGATAAGGGGCTGGCTGGATTTTTTTTGTGTGTGTGTGCAATTCTTGCTTTAGTGGTGCAGAGGTTTGGGGTTTCAGACAGGTCAGACCTCTAGTCTGACCTCTAGTCTGACCTCTGGCTTCTTGGATAGGGCCCCTTAGGGGTTATAGCGAGGTAGCAGGACAAGCAGTGGCATATCAGATGTGCTGTGGAGAGGCCAGTGTCATGGAGTCGGGGCCGGGGGTGGGGGGGTGGGGAAGGGGGGGCATGAGGCCACTGTGGTTATATCCAAGACAAAGAAGCGCGGATACTGGGTGAAGAAACACAAGCAAGACCCTGCTTTTTCCGCATTCCCTGTAGAGCCCCCAGGGGCCAGTACCACCAGCCATGATTGGAGGAGCAGATTCAAATAAGAGAGAATCCCAAGGCCAAGGCTGGCTGGGCCGGTTCTCCTGAACTTGTCAAGCATGATTTTCCTTTTTTCTCTGGGTGGGGCCCGGGATCTGGGGCCCCTGCTCTGTCATCACCCAACCAGGCTCCCCACCCAAGTGCCTCTAGATCCTCGAGAGAGACTGGTCCTGAACTCCTGAACTCTGAGGTAGAAGGCAGCCAGGGGTCCCAGAGAGGACTTTTTCTAGCTGGGCTGACCCCTGGTAGGGCACACTAGTTCTCAGCTGCTAACTCAAAGGCTGGTGGTCCCAACCCACCAGCTATCCCCAGGAAAAAGATGTGCCAGTCAGCTTCCACAAAGACTCACGGCCTTGGAAACCCTATCATATGGGCAGCTCCATTCTGGCCTATAATGAACGCTGGCATCAGAATGAACTCCTTGGCAAATGGGGTGGGCCTTAAAGTTTAATGTTTCCACAGCTTGGCTCAGCGGCCCAGGCAGAGATGGTGATGATGGGTGCTGTGGAGTTGGTTCCAGCTCATAGTGACCCTGTATAGGGTTTCTGAGGCTGTAAATCTTTATGGGAGCAAAAATCCTCATCTTTCTCCCAGGTAGCAGCTGGTGGATTTGAACTTCTAGGTAGAATATTTGTTAACACATAAATGAAGTGAAGCTAGCCACCAATGATGAGTGCAGTGATCAGCACCACCCCAAGCTGGGCCAGCCTCCCAACCCCAGTAACTTACCAGCCAGGGAGTTCCTTGGAAGCACAAGTGCCCACCCCAAGATGAAGACCCTCAAGTGGATAACCCTGGGGAAAAGACTGCCCTAAGCATCTGTGAGTTCTTGTCAGCATTTCTGGGGCTGTTCCCAGGTCCTGAATCTCCGTTGTATCTCTTGAGAAAACTGCACTGCCCCGCATCAAGGTGGCCACCCAAATACGAAGAGAGCTGACACATGGGCCCCTGGATGCTGGATCTTCTCCAGAATGTTGAAGTGAGGCTGTATGGCTGGCCCAGGCTGCAGTGGGATGTGGCCTGCTCTGCCCCTCTCCCCCTCCCTAGATGCAGGGAGGGGCTCAGCTCCTACCTGTTGTTGCTGGAAGTGCAGCAACTCTGCAGGGCTCATTTCGCCGTTGCTTTCTGCTCCAGAGGCTGCGTCCCTGCCCGCGCAGCCTCCGGCTGTGCTGGCAGCTCCGGCTCCACCACCACCGCCACCGCCGCCATCGGCCTGCCCGGAGAGGCTGCCCACGCCATTCTGACCGGACGGAGCCGACCTGATTGTCTCCGAGGCTGATTCCACCATCATGTCGCTCTAGCGGGACCTGGAGGGGGAGGAGAGACATGGGGGAGGGGCTGAAGCGCCAGGCTGGACGGACAGGGCTGGGTCCACTCAGGGCAGCAAGAGATACCCCGCAACCTCCCCGCCCCCCAACCCAGATTCCACAACATAACCACTACTACCAAATTCCGCAGCTCCTGGAGAATCTGCACCTTAACTTCCCAGAGGCTGCTTCTGGGATCCCTTGTGGAAGTACATCTCAACGTCAAGGGGCCCTTCGGTCCAGACTGAAGCTGAGGCAACCCCACCACCCTTCCCCCACCTCAGACTACATTCCCTGGACTTCTAAGAGACCTCAGTCTTTGAGGGTAGGGTAGGAGGAGCCATCCATCTGAACCCTAAACCTGTTCTAGCCTGGGGTTAGGGCAGACTTGAGCTGAGAAGGGAGCTTGAAAGGGGTACTACAAGAACGTAAAGCCAGTGAGCTAGTCCCTAGAGACCTACCATATTGCTCCCCTTCCCCCCTTATGATCTTTGTGTTTGTTCTAATCTAGTTAGGGAGTTCAACCACAGCTGGGCCTCCTCATAGGGTCTCTATCCCCAGGACACAGTAAAGCTCCAATCCACATTTATCAGACAGCACCAAGTGACTATTGTTGTTGCGACCCATAGTGACCCTGTATAGGGTTTTCAAGGAGCAGCTGATGAGATTGAACCGCCGACCTTGCAGTTCACACGGCTTTGCAATCTGGCGCATTAACCCACAGCGCCACACCAGGACTCCCAGTGACAATTACTAAGTACCTAATGGGAGCCAGACACTGAGTTGGGAGGGGAAGGCTGCAGTGAAGCCCCCTCATCAGGCTCCTCTGACCTTCCATTTGAAAGCCTGGTCCAGAGTGGACACTTAGTAAATATTTACTCACTGTCTTGTATCCAAAAACCCACTGCCGTCAAGTTGATTCCGACTCCTAGCAACCTTAGTGGAACTGACAGTAGGGTTTTTGAGACTGTCAATCTTTACAGGAGCAGACAGCCTCATCTTTCTCCTGTGGAGCGGCTTCTGGATTTGAACTGCTGACCTTGTGGCTCACTGCCCAATGCCTAACCCACTGCACCACCAGAGCTCTTTACCGTCTTTTACAGGCACTGCTATTCCTCCTTACAACAACCGATAGCTTTTGTCACCCTGATTTTACAGATGGAAAAACTGAAAGTCCAGACTCACTCATGGTAAGGCAAGGTCTGAATTCTGTCCCTGCCTTACGTTTTTTTTTGGGGTAGGAAGTGTTACTAGATCTCACTACCTCTTCAAGGAGTGGTTGAAAAGGAAAAGGTATATTTGGGATGGTCAAATGTAGCGAGGAGGTGGGCTGAGCTCCCTTTACAAGTCATATTGTTTTAATACCTCAGGGCGTGCACACACAAACTACGATGAAGATGGGGCCCACAGTTTCATGTGCAGAACTCTTCTTAATTTCTGGAGGTATCCCCAACTACCCCAGAGTTCCAGAATCTTGAGTAAAATAGCTCATTGTAGATGTCCACCGCTGATCTTCAACATGTTTCTTAAATTCTTAAGCCTAAGGAGTCCTGGTGTCATGCTGTAGGATAAACTAACCACAAGGTCAGCAGTTCAAATTCATCAGCTACTCCTCGAAAACCCCATGCAGGATCCCTATGAGTCAGAACCAATTTGAGAGCACTTAACAACAACAAAGCTTCCTTATCTATAGAATGCTGTTGTTGTGAAGTGCTGTTGAGTTGGTTCCGACCCATAGCGACCCTGTATATGGTTTCCAAAGAGTAGCTGGTGAGCTTGAACTGCTGACCTTGCAGTTCAAACAGCTTTGCAGTCTGGCGTATGAACCCACAGCACCACACCAGGACTCCTATCTATAGAATGTTGTTGTTGTTGTTGTGAAGTGCTGTCGAGTAGGTTCCAAGCCATAGTGACCCTGGGTAGGGTTTCCAAGAACAGTTGGTGAGCTTGAACCTTGCAGTTCAAACGGCTCTTTTCAGTCTTTCCAGCCTCAGAGTGCTCACTGTAAGGAGCAAATAAAAAACCAGACGTGGTTGTTGCAGTATGCAGTCGGGTCTATTCCTATTCATAATGACCCTATACAGCAGGGTAGAACTGCTTCTAGACTAATTTTTATGAAGCAAAGATCGCCAAGTCTTTTCTTTTGCTGAACAGCTGGTAGGTTTGAACTGTTGACTATTAGGTTAGCTTCTACTGTGACACAATGGTTAAGCAATGTTAAGAGACAGTAAAACCCAGTAATGCTCAGTCCTTTATCCACCTGCCCTACTGATAGAAATAAGACCATGGGGCTCAGAGAAGTCCAAGACTTGGCCCAGATCACACAGGAACATCAAGGGGCAAAGCCACACCTAGCATCTAGCAAGGTTAAGGATACCAGCCCAGTGTTCACTCCTCCCTTCTGGATTCTCTTTGGTCTAGGTAGACCCCACAGCCACTGGTCTCCTGACCCCACATGTGGAGGTAAATGGGAATTGTGTAGGTAGGGAATGAGAGAAAATGAGGGACGAGAGTGGATGACTTCACTAGTTCCCTCCCTCCCCAAGGCAGCAGCTCCCAAGAGCAACTTCTCCCCCCAGCCCCTTCCAATTCTCTTCTTTCATTCCAGAGGACTGTCTTCACACACTCTACTGAGCCACTTGCCCTGTTTCTATCCCAAGCTGGAAGCAGAAAAGGGAGGAGTGTGAGGGTGTTAAGTGGGGGGAAAGGGCAGAGGACTGTGAAGGGTGGGATCCCTTGGGAGCACCTGGGTTCATATGTGTGCCTCCTTGCTGCTCCTGTGTCTCCCCTCCACCTGTGACTCTGGTGTTCCTGCCCTGATTGAGCTGTGAGGCCTCTTGGGTGCCTCTGTGCTGCTTCAGAGTCCCACAGTGTGTGTTCCCAAGTGCCTGCTCCCATGATCCCCTCAGCTGGCACTCCCGCTCCTAGGTTCTAAGAGAGCTGGGCTGGGGGTGAGAGCAAGGATGGGGGTGATGGTTTGGAAGAGATTGAGCACTTGGTCTCAGGCCTTAATGGCCGTGTCAGCCTGAGGGCTAGTGGCCGAAACATGATGGATGGAGCAGGCACCATCCTCCACCCACCAGAGAACAGGGCTCCAGCCACCCCCTGCCCCAACCTCTCTCTCTGGAACCCTCCCAGCAGCTTACAAGGCCAGGAGCACCTTCCCCCCACTCAGCTACATGAGGGGGATGGGGAGACAGCAAGGATTCACCCTGACCTCCCTCTCTCCAACCCGGGCTCTGCTGGGGGTGGAGAGCAGCTGCCTGCCCAGAATCCAAGTCAAGCCTCTCTGAGATCTGAGAACTCTGGGCCCCAGGGGACAAAAACCCGAGGCTCAGGGGTGTGTGTGCATGCACAGGAGAAAGGAAACAGAAACTAGCAGTCACTTCCCTGGAGTAAGGGCAGAGTGCCCCCCTTCCAATACTCACACACTCACCATAAAGTTACAGATTATACAGCAAGTTTGGAAAAAAGGAGGAAGAACGAAGATGCAAACAGAGATGTCCCTTTCTTTTCTGTCTTTTTATTTGTGGTGGTGGTGGTGGGGTACAGAGTGACACCCAGTGAACAACATAATTGCTGCAATGTGGTGTGTAATAATAGCTATTCAAGGGCCGATCATTCATATTAAACAGGGTGAAGCAAGCCTCTCATTTGCATGCTTGAGATTATATGCATTTGAAAAGTCATTTCCGCAGGGTGTATGAATGGCATTAATTCCCATGTGGCACACTCTGCCCCCTCCCAGGGCCTTCGCTGATGACACACACCCATACATCTCCTTTCACACTCCTACCCACCCACCTATACCCCCTCAAACCTGCAAGACAGGTGCTCCCAGGTGCTCCCCGGGCCTTCAACTCTGAACTGGGACACCCGTCCTTCAAGATGAGGATATTAACAGCCTCCCACCTCTTTACCCCCTTCTCTATGGCGTGTTGCAATGGCACTGGTATGTTCCCTAAACAGGAAGTGAGCAGGCGCTGGGATCCTGGGGCCCAGCCAGCTAGGGAGAGGGTGGGGTACCCTGTAATGACAGGAGTGTGGGGGTGAGGGAGAAAGCTGTAATCCTGGAGAGAAGGGACAGCCTGGGCACCAGGTGATCTGTCTGGATTTAGCTTTGGATCAGGCACAAATCAGTTATGAATCCTTTGTTTCCTCCCTCTCAATTCCTCAGTATCCCTATCTTTACATGGAAAGATGGTTTTGAAGATCCCTTCTGGCTTGGGAACTCCAGGAATCAAAATTCCTAGCCTGTTACGTGGACAGAGTTCTAGTGGCTGGTGGGAATCTCTGAGGATCTGTTTGGGCCACAGCATGACCCCTTTCCCAACCCAGATCTGAGCCACCTGCTTTGGTACTAAGAGTGCTCCTTCCAAGAGCTCTTTGGTGGTCCTTCCACATCTCTCCAAACACACCTGTCCTTCCCTCAGTTACCCATTTCCTCCACAAAATGCAAACAGCTTTTTGTTGAGGGGAGAAGATCTGAGAATAAGGCTATCTGGTATCAAGGCCCAGTGGGGTGACCTTGCCCAAGTCACTGGGCTGTCCTTCCTTCCTTTGTGAAACAAATAAGGAGGTGGGATCAGAAGGCCTTTCTCTGATTCACTAAAACCGGGGGCTCTTATAGCACCCCACCCCAGCCTTTCTAGATTCTCCTTCTAGACCCTCCAGGCTGCACTTTTGCGGGTCCTAGTCTTCCATCCCTCCACGTTCCCCTTAAGGGAGCCAGGGGACCTCTTGCCAGGCCTCAGGAAGGAAGCTGGGTTAAAGCCACAGTAGCCTCTTCCGCTCTGGGGGAATCTGCGGGCCACTGGGGGCTCCCACTTCCCCTCGAGGCTCCTGGCCCTTCGAAGAACCTGAAGAACCCCGGGCAGAGAGGAATAAGGGTCGCCTACGGAACTCTCTGGGCCTCCTCTGTCCCCTCCCCTGCCGGAAGTGACGAGCTCACCTACCCTGGGGCCAAGGGGGGACCCCAGGGGCT